GGGGTCACACAACCCCTTGGGATGCCAGAAATCCAGTTGTGGACTCCATGAGTGACCCATTGGATAGCAGCAAAACGACCCTTTGTGTGCACACAAGGTGCTCGATGAAAGTCCCCTGTGGGTATGCCTTGCGCAGCACCCTACTACTGCGCGAGCACAAGGTCCAATTTTTTATTTTTTATTTTTTAATAAAAAAAGGTCTGGCCAACCGACGTTGCAGGGCTCTTTCAATTTTTTTTAATTGACTTGGCCTCAAAACTACGTCGTTTTGAGCCAAACTTTTAAAAATAAAAAAACAAAACAAAAGATCATCCTCCTTTCCTCCCATTTATCCAACTCCACATCACATCCCCAAACCCTTTCATTCCCAAATTAATATCCCACAACCCTAGGAGCCCCAACCTCCCAACCTCCACCACTACCTCTTTGCCGACGTTGAGCACCACTGCCTTGTGCTGCCATAGTCTTTCTATGTTTTTAGTGTTATTTTCTTCTTAGGAAAATTTTGGACACTTTTACACTAAGACCCCTTGGCCCAAGAATTCTGGATCCACTACTATGTGGAACCACTACTACAAAAAACGAAATAGACGATGGATATTCACCATCATGGTGATGGTTTTCAAACCGTCGTGAAATTGACTGTCATCTTTTGAGTGCAAACCCACGACAATAATTCATTGTCGCTGTTCATGAACAACATGACGGTTATTAAACAAAAACCGTTGTTCTAGTGCAGTTCAGTGTTCACATATTGCAAAAAACCAACAACTTACATCAACTTACATGTTGGTTTCTGAAAGAAAAAAAAAATCATCTTAAAAAAGGTTAAATGATGTTTTTAGGTGACAAGAGTTGTCTTTCTTTAATACCATGTCATTGTTTTATAATTAGCGATGTGGTTTCACATAACCACGGTGGTTCTTAGAATTACGACATAACATTAAATGCATTTATTTAATTTCATATGGGTATAATTGGAAAATTAAACAAATTTTGTTTTACATTCCTACGCGAACCAAACATGGAAAATGAAATAAAGTGATATTTTATTGTTACTTTCTCAGCATTACCAAACATGGGAAATGAATCTTCCATTTCCCATCCATTGAGAAATAAACATGGGAAATTATTTCCCACCAAATCTTTTTCACAAACTAAACAAGCCCTAATTAATTAGGCACCTCACATTTCAAACCCATTTGGTTTGGCTTGCTGTGTCTCCAACAGAACAACTAGGTGATGAAGAAGACATGAAAAAGGCACTATAAGAAAAATGTCCTTCTATGACAGAATGTTACGTAATGCTGAACATTTCGTCACATTTATGTCGAATAAGTTCTATAAATATTATTAAATCAAATCAATATAGCGATGTTCAATATAACAGTTAAATCAATAGAAAATATTGACTTAGATAAGTGATAGAGTCCTGCATTGTTGTAGTGTATTTTAGATAGTATTTCTCCTCTACACATTGTGCTTGTAGTTTGATAGGAGTCTGCCACCAAGATTTATCACAAATCAAAGCCTAAGCATTATGACTTTGATTTTTGATGAACAATGATATGCTTTCTCTCAAGAAGTGTTTATGTGTCGAGAATGATAATGCAATTCTAAAAGTTCTATATTTGACTAGTTCTATATTGTCAATAGATAGATGTGTGATACCTCTTCATCTAACAATTTTAATAATTGTTCAAACAAATTTTGAATTTTAGATAATGATATTATCTAAAAAATGAATTTCTAATTAATAAAAATAATATTAATTAAACTAGGGCTGTGCGGTTGGACCTCAAACACCGAAAATCGCCAATTACTAACCGGCTTTTGCAGTCGGCAAATCGTGGTAGACCAAAAAGTTAACGTGTTGGGGTTGGACAATCGGGATAGACAATGATGGTACCGATTGCGATACACAGATACCAATTCCATTGGCAACCGCAACCGACCATCAGTTTTGGGCCCAATATCTTATTTTCTTCGACTCTTTCTTCTTCCCCTCTCCTCTTTTCTACCCCTCTCTCCCCATGTTTTCTTCCTCTCTCTCTCTCTCTCTCTCTCTCCCTCTCCCTCTCCCTCTCTTGTGGTGTGCGGTAACTACACTAAAAACATGTCTAAATTAAACCAACAGAGCCCAAGAGACTAAACTAAGATGAGGCCCAATTATGCCTTTACTAAGCTCATATCTTATTTAATGTTTAAAGGTGTTGGTGCTTATAAACCATAAAAAGAAAGCACTCCCTTTCAATGTGGGATTAAGAGCATCCACAATGACGCTCTATATTTCTTAGCTAAAATTTGACAAGAATATAAGAAAGCTATTTTAGGAGCTCTCTAAAAAAATTCAACTCCAACCATACTCCCTAATTTGGAGAGTCATAAATGCTATAA